GAGGTTGGAGATTCCACCTTTTGGACCAAAAAAAGAATAGACGAGGGTGTTAAAGTGGATTAGTAGCAGAGTAGCACCTTTGGGTGGGAAATTAATTCCCCTCATTCACTTGAAAAGAAAAGAGGAAACTTAATGGTTGGGCTATGCGAGCGTGCCAAGGAGGCTGCGGAAGAGAAAAGCGGACCGTTATTTTAAACTAGAACTGATTGCCAAAGTAACGAAGAGCAAAACAATGAAAATGTGTAGTAAGAGTTACAACTTACAAGTTTGGAAGCTTTAATATTTTAAACTAGATTTAGGATAGTGTTAATTGAGCTGAAATTTTCTGGTCTAGTAACATAGTCTGATCTATTTAAATCTTGTATGATGTAAACTAGTCCGGTTTAATTAATTTGATAGATGTTTGGTCCAAGTGTATTTGACAATGACGGAAGTTTGATTTAGTCTGATCTAACTTACCTTTTTAAATTTGTTGTGATCACTTTTGGTTTAGTCTAGTCCAAAATAACATCCTTATTTGTCATTTTTAGTAGGCAAAATTCCCTATATTAGAGTAAAAAAGTTCGAGTATTTCAAAATAAGACTGTGATGTAATTACTATCAAACTTGGAAAATATCATCATATTTAAAGTATGGTAATGCTAAAACATGTCAATAATTACCCCTAATTCGAGAATACAAACGTAATCATCCTATTTTTGAATACACAGATGTTTTCAATCTCCCCTTTTTAGTATACTTTCACCATCCGAAAAGCAACACATACCGGATTGTATTTTTAGAGAAATTTTATGTGATATGACTAACAAATAAGAGATTCCCTAAATATGACTACCTATGTTTTTAGACATTCGTAGGATTGAAAAGCAAAAATAAAAAGAAAAATTTGTTCATATTACAATGTTTAATGAGCAAAATATCCTTATTTAAAAAATGCACATTTTAGACTATTATCGTCCAATTAAAAATAATGCACTTTATACTGCATTTACTGCACAACATTAATGCATGACATTATTGCACATCTAGTAAGAATCATTGCGTTCCCGCCAATATTAATTCTCTTCTCATCCACGTTACGATTTTTTTTATAGATCTTTTTTTTATTTATTTTAAGATGTAATAACTTTAAATTAGTATTTTACACCAAGTTAAATATATTGCTCTATTGCCTTCAATTCACTGAACAAGACACTTTATCAGTGCATTCATTCACTGCCCATGTAGAACACTATCTAATGTCTTTCTCACTATACATGTTTATTGCTCATGTTCACTGCCCATGTTTAACACCATCTATTGTCATTTTCACTGCACATGTTCAGTGCCCACGTTCACAAACTCTAAATTCACAAACCCTAATTTCATAAAAAAACTAAATAGTGGTGATGCTGCGGCATGTGGACATCCACGACGGCCACAGGTAGGTGCTTCGAATGGGAACAGTCGCGATGCCACGGCACAGGAACGGCTACGGCACCGCGGCATGAGGATGTAGGCGACACCGCGGCATGAGGATGGAGGTGACACCGCGGCAAGCAAACACTTAGACGGCTGCGGGCAGGCGCATAGGCATGTCGATGGCTAGGGCTGAGCACATGTCTAAGACCGGACTGAACTGGAACCGGTTGGATCGGAACTGGAACTTTTAAACAAAGTGAACCGAAGACCAGACATATATAATTCCGGTCCAGGACTGGACCGGATTATACTGGGTTTTCTGGTCCGGACTGGTATTTGACTGGACTTTTTACTTTCTTATTTTTACAATGTTTCATCTCTTAAAAAATAGTTTTGATTGTCCAAAAATTTACTTATTAGCTCGTTCTTTCGATTACGGAGTATTGTTTTATAATGTTTTATATGTGATTATATCTAATTTATTCTTTTATATGTATGATTTTCATTTTTTATGTATCTTTTAATCAATATAATATACATTATAATATACTACCTCCGTCCCAAGTTACTTAGTCATCTTTGATTTTTCTAGTCAAAGGTGGTAAACTTTGACCAATTATTTAAACTAATATATTTATTTAAACTAATATATTATAAAATTTTATGAATGACCATATTAGTACGGGAAACTAATGTTCTTACTCGATTAATTTAGTGAATGATTTGACTCAATAGATTTGTGTATTTTAAAGAGGAATTCAATTAATCACACTATATATTATGGTTAAAATAAATATACAATGCACCTTTATATTCCAACTCCTACTGTTTTTATACTACAAAACTTTAATAGTGTAAATATGTAAATAATACTACGTATAGAGTATGTAACTTGAGTTGATGTCTAAGGTATTGTATCACTCAATTAATGTATTTTTTAAGTAAAATAATTAATGTACTATGTGCGGAGTATGTGTTTGTATGTATACAAATTTAATACATATATAGAAATAAATAAATAAATAAATAAATAAATATGTATATATATACTCCCTCTATTCTTTTTTAGTTGCAACATTACCTTTTTCACGTTTGTCAACGCACAACTTTGACCGTCATTATATTTAATTCTCTATTTGTATTTTTTAAAATCAGATTATGAAACTTTGTAATGAGACGAATCAACAATATTTTTTCAAAAAAATTAATTCACACACGTTAGTAAATAAAATGTAGTCGAAGTAGAGTACATGAATAGTGTATAAATTCCAATGTTGTAACTAATACGATACGGAGGATAGTATATAAAAATTAAATTTCGGTCTAACCAGTCCGGACCGAAATATTCTGGGTTTTGGACCGGACTGGATCAGAACTGGAATCGGTAAAATCCTTGGACCAAAGACCGGACCGGTATCTATCCGGTCCGGGTCCGGTCTGGACCAACAGGCTGGTTTGGTCCGGTTTTCCGGTCCGAACTTGATTATGCTCAGCCCTACCGACGGCCACGGTGCCACGACATAGGGACGCCCGCGGTGCTGCGGCATGGGGATGGCCGCAGTGCCGCGACATGGGGACGACTGCGGCAAGCAGGCATGGCGGCGACTAGGCGCGAAGGCATGGGGACGGTCGCGACGCCACGACATGGAGACGGTCGCGACCCCGTGGCATGAGAACGGCGGGTGAGGAGAGTGTGACAGCGACGGTGTGGCGAGTGCCGCGGCGATAGGTTGGTGTCTAGCCGTCTAGGTTTTTTAGAAAATAAATAGGAAGTTAGAGTTTTATAATACCAATCTAAGAACATATTAGTCCATAAAAATTATTACGTATTTATTTTTTAATTATCTATTTAATATTATGAATTTCAATATTATTTTGGGAAAAAACTAAACATGTCATAGATTGAGAAAATAGATGAGTTTTAGTCATACCTAGGGTATTTTCTCAATTTCACCCGCAAATACTTGTAGAACTTTTTTTCTCATTTTAATATAGTTTCGGCCTCTGAAAAGCAAAAGTCATTTTTTCTTTGAAAGGAAAAGGATCAATATATTAAATCAAACAATCATTCGCCATTGGCTTGAAATACAACTTAGGCCTAGCATCAAAGTAACCACAACTCGTCTTGAATAATGCGTCCCTAGCAACCTTATGGGCCACCCGATTCGCGGATGGTTGACAATACTCGACAATAAACCTAGCTTCATTATGAAAAATTTGTCTAATATCACCAATGATAGTGCCAAAATATGAGTCTCCTAACTCTTCCTCTAGTCTTGTTGTAATCAATTGGGCGTCTGTTCCTATCACAACTCTGTTTCATCCTTAATTTTGTGCCTATGTAGCAGTTGCTCTAACTCCAAGACCCTTTGTGATACTTGTCGACCAATCTGATGCATGATGTTCCCATCCCCCTCTAATAAGCTCGGTGTTGTGGTCTCTAGCAACCCATCCCCAAGCTCTGCATCTCCGATGGTCATCTGTGGCTCCATCGACATTAATCTTGATTGTTCCAGCAAAAGGTTTAACCCATCGAGTCTCCTCCGCCTTTGCTTCCTGCGCTCCTTTCGTGTTATGAGCAGCCCACCATCCTAGCAACACTGAAGCTCCCATGTTTATCACGTGTAAAGCATTAAAACAATGGTTATTCCACACCACCTCGTTGAGCTCCTTCCATATGCTCTATAGTATGACTATAATATGCTCCTGCCATGATGCCACATATCGTTGGAAATCAATCCCAACCTTTTCCCATACTACAACCACCCGTCTCATCTTGTCCGTATTAGGTAACACATCTATCTTAACTTGCCAAAAAAAATATTACCTCTGCCCAAAAGTATTTTCTATTTGGGGTGTCCAAAAGTGATCGTCATGTTTCCCTTTTTGTTAAAGAATGAAAAGGGAAACATGAAATGAATAGTAAAAGTAAAAGAATGAACAATACAATAAAGTAAGGTTATATGAATCTTTTTACCACTCTTTCTTAATACTCCCTCCGTCCCATAAAATAAGTCCCATTTTCTTTTTTGGGCCGTCCCAAAAAATTGTTCCCATTTCCCTTTTTGGAAAGTTTTGTGTGGCTAACATTCATTTACCTTTTTCTTACTCAACCACGACCATACATTTCCACTTTATTCCCACTTTCTTAAACTCCGATCCAAGTCAAAGTGGGACTAATTTTCCGGGACGGAGGGAGTATTTAAGTCCAAAAAGTATAGGATCATAGATTTGGGACGTATTTAATTTTTGGTGGAAGTAAAAAAACCACATGGCATTTTCAGGATAAAAAAATAAAAGGGAAAGTTGACGAAATAAGACTAAAACAATTTGAAAATTCTAAAATAGCACTGTCGTGTTTTTTCTCACAAAATAGGAATAATTATTGCCAAGTTTAAAAAATACTACCATGTTTGAAGTCTGGTACGCCAAAACATGACAAAAATTATTTCTATTTTAGAAATAAAAATATGACGATCCGATTTTAAAATTTTCAAACTTTTTTAATTCTATTTCTATGTGATATTCTCCCAATAAAATCAAGAATTACCATTTAGATTCATTCACCCCGCCTTTACCTCTTCTATTTGGACCATCAGCAACATCGTCCCAAGGCTTTATCCAAAGAAGAAGACGCATAGAGTCTCCTCCATTCGATCTTCAACGACACATAATTTTGATGGCGTTACTACTAGCCGGTGCAGTTCCAATGGTGGCTCCCACTCCACCACTGTCCTCATCACACGCCGTCTCTTCTCTTCCGCTGAAATCTTCTTCGTTGTCGCTTTGCGTAACCTGCCCGAGCCTTCCATTGAGTGCGCACTTATTAATTATTATCACAGACAAGTTTACTCTCACTCTGTTCTCTCTGTGGATACATATGTGTTTTCAGTGAAATTAAGTTTTATGTTTCGCAATTTTGGCTGTAGTCTACTGCGGAAGAGGAGATAAGAAGACGGCAAGAGGCAAGCGTTTCAATCACTCATTTGGGAATGTGAGTCTATTTCAACGAATTTCCAGGTTTTGTTTCGTTATCGTAGTTTGAATTTGATCGATTCACGGTACGAATTAGCATTTGCGGTTGAATTATTTTGTGTATAGGCCAGACCGAAGGATAAGCATAAGGGGAGAGGACCACCTAGGGTTTCGATTCCGCCCTCTGCGCCGAAGAAGGATCCGTTTGATGACGGTGAGGTGATTAACATTGAAATTGATGAGTCTATAAGGTGATGTTTCAGATGTGATTTCTGAGCACATTTCAATTTGTAATCTCAGATTATAAGTGTAAGTTGTGTAACTTGATTGACAATTTGAAATTTACTGATCATCATTTGGCTACTTTGTGATCAAGAGATCTGTGGTTTCTGTGTCTTAGAGCAGTTTGGAAGGTTGTAGTTTGGAAATTAATTTCAATATACTCCGTATTTCGTTTATGGATTATAAACATTTGTGTATAATATACACACTAAAATTTGGGAGCAATTGAAGATCTCTATCAAGTTTCGCAGGATAGAGAAACCGTAAACGCCTCTTCTAACAGAAAAGCAACTTATTAGAGAGTTTTCAAAGAGTTTTGGTAGAACTGAAACGAAAAATGTACTCTTTGAGAATTTTCGTGCTTTGTAGGTTTTGTATTATCTACTCACCGAGTACTCGCAACTCAGGGGTGACCGTCCTGATTTGCACTCTGACTTGGCCTGTTCATTTTTCCAAGTTACTTCTTTCAGTACTTAAGTGTTTGTCTTAGCTCGGTGACAAGTTTGACTTGCTGAGTTACTCGTGGAAATTTATGAATAATGAGTATCTTAAAATTGGAAAATTGACATTACAAATAACTTGTGTGAATCTGACTAGTGAAGATCTTGGGGAAGACATGAATGACTTTATTAATAAAATATATTTTAAATATAATTTTTTTATAATTTAGTAGATTTGTCCAATTCAGCCATAATTTAATCAATTTCATCAAATTTAGCTAGTCCATGTGTTACTAAACGAGCTCTTAGAATGTTTATGATGTTTGCTAATTCATTATTAGGATTATTATTGTTTCCATAATTTTTCCGAGAAGTGTTGTAACTTTTTTATTTGTACTCTTTTTGTTACAAAAAATATATCAAAATGCATAACTTTTTATTATCTTTCATATGATATCAATATTGAATATATAAAAACAAAAAATAATTTAACACTTGAAGATCACATTTTTAGAAGTTGTTCTCTTCGTCTGATCTGAATGTTTCTGATTTGAATTTTTTAAGATCTGGTCTGAATTTTTCTGATCTGATCTGATCTGAAATTTTTTGATCTGATATGATCTGATTTGATTTTGATGGTTCTGATCTGATTTGAATCTTTCTGATCTGATCTGAATTTTTCTGATCGGATCTGATATGATCCGAATAAAATAAGAATAAGCAATTAGTATTAAGAATTATCTTTTATAAAAAATATATCAAAATTTATTAATTTTTATTATCTTTTATAGGAAAACATATAAATAAAACAACATAAATTCTCGTAAAAAAAGGTAAATGAATGTTAGCCACACAAAACTCTCCAAAAGAGGAAATGAGGAGAAATTATATATTAGAAATTATGTATTCATTTAATACAGAATAATTGATATTGTGGTTGGAAAATATGAGGATTTAATAAACCTTCATATTTTTTGAAAATTTTATATATACAATATTGATGTCATATGAAAGACTGTAAAATATATTAAGGCAGAAGCTGTTACTTGAAATCACTGACCAATTTTTTTAGGCCAGAAGCTGAAATTTACTTTTTAATCTCTTGCAAACAGTCCCTTAGCCAAATTTTTATATTTTCTATCTTTGTAATTCGTTTCTTTATAAAGACAACAAAAATGCAAAAGATGAAGCCAATTAGCATAAGTAGAGGAATGTTCTCTAACACTGGTAGATAGACACATTGCATAATAATTGGGGTAAAACATTGTTGTTCCAAACAATGTTTTTAATAGAGAAAAGACTCATATAAGGCCTTCTACTATTATGAAATAGTCACATAAGTTCATGTACTCAATAAAGTTTCATATAAGTACTCTACTTGTAAAAAGCAATCAAATGAGTCCTAATGGCCTATTTAACCTCTTAATCCCGGTTTCAACGTACTTCTGACCATCTTTTTAGAATACATTATACGTCATATGTCGAATATTTAACTAAGATTGGTTGAAATACAAGTCAAAAAAATCGACATGTAAGCTAAAATCGGGATTAGGATGTGTTAAATAAACCGTTAGGACTCATTTGATTGCTTTATACAAGTAGATGTATTTATATGACACTTTATTGAGTACATGGCCTTATATGACTATTTCATAATAGTAGGAGGCCTTATTTGACCCTTTTCTATTTTTAATAACCTACTACTTTCTTATACTAACTTCGTCCCATAAAACATTGCAAACTTTCAGTTTTTTGTCATCCCAAAAAACATTGTCATTTTCACTTAAAGTACGACATATGTGGTTAAAGTTATTTCTCATTTCTCTACAGAAATATCAACTACACAAAAAACTAATTTAATTAGTCACATTACTAGTCACATTGGCGATGAGGCTCCTCACAATCCAAAGGATGTTTTTTTAATTACACTGAAATTTATAGGTTTGTATGATCTACTACGCATTTAATTATAGTCTAATTTTGTTTAAATTGGGGGTAAACATCTAGTGTATATTTGTTTTTACTTGGATTAGATTTGAAGAATGTTTTTACTTGGATTAGATTTTATGGCCTTATCTGATCTGGTCTAGTCTGGTCTGATCTATTCTGGTCTAAATTGGTCTGGTTTGATCTAGTCTGGTAAATATTTGAATTTTGTGTATTTTAAAACTGTCAAACTCTGGTCCGATCGGTCTGATGGTCTAATTTGAATAGGTCTGATCTTATCTGATATGACCTAACTGAAATAAGTTCAATCAAGAATATCCTTAAGTTTAGTCAATTTTGAGACTAAAAAAGGTCTTAATACATTTAAAAACATTTCGAAACTAAAACTTTGGGCCAAAATTTAGCATCCGGAGTAAAATGTTGACTTTACCGTTGACAATATATTCGAACAGAGTTCAAGTCTACATCTCCCATCTCCGCTCCGTCTCCCGCCATTACATATGTTCTTTACCTCATCAAAAACCCCATTTTATTTCCCTTGTTCCTAAATTTCTCTCAGAAATTGATCCGTTAGTTTTGCTTGCCAGGTTGGCCTCAGCTCCCGTCTCCTGCCATCTATATATATTCCTTACGACCTCATTTCAAACCCCATTTTATTTCCCCTTCTTTCTGAATCAAGCAAAACCCAGAGAAACAAGCCGGCCATGAATGATTTCTGTTCCTGCGGCCATGAATGGATTTCTGACTCCCCATTTCATGCTTAATCATCCCTCGCTCGCAGTATTACATTGTAGCAGATTCATTGTGTGTGGTACGGTTCTCGTATCTTGAATACCCTGATGTTCATTAGTCTGTTTGTTTTTTTGAATTTCTATGATGAAAACTATTGACGATTTTTTGAATTTCTTGTTCAAACGAGTTGACTGTCTGATTGGTTTCTTGAATGTACCTGTTTTCAAAAACGTAGGTCGGATGTATATAATGCCCTGTTCAAACAATTCCTTGTTTTTTTCATACCCCTGGTTCGTAGATAAATGAAGATTCTATATATGATGAAAACTATTGATGATATTTTGGATTTCTTGTTCAAACGTGTTGAATATCTGGTTGGTTTCTTGAATTTCTGATCGTTTTCTTGAATTTGTGATCGGTTTCTTGAATGTACATAGTACCCTGTTTTCAAGAACCTACATCAATTCCTGTTTTCAAGAACGGCTTCGGATGTATATCATATCCTGTTTTCAAGAACGTACGTTCTTCAATTGTAATCTTGAATGTATTGTGATTATATATACCGTACGAGTTCTGCGACTCATTATTATGTATTTATGTGTATCTGCAGATTGCGATTGAGATTGAAATTGCAGATTATATATACCGAAACAGTGCAGATGGTGGAGATTGAAATTGAGGGGGTGATATCATCATGCAAATTGCGATTGGAGCATCAAACTCATGATAAGCGTTGATCTTTGGAATTGTAGTATACTACAATCTGGTAACGCCTGCTACCTGCCTTAAGTTGTTTATAAATCGGTCTCGACAGATATGTTTCTCATGAGAATTACTTTTACTCCATTGAAAATGGTGTATCTGTGCCAATTAAACGACCAAGCTACATAAAAAACTAAGTACTCTACCGTGGGGATTAAAAAACAACTCATCCTTCCAATCTTACAAGTTAAACCATTTCATGTGATTGAAGCAAGCATCTAAATGTCAACTCTTGCAAAAAAAAATGAAACGGTGGCTTGGGCGGCCGTTTAATGTTTGCCAACCTCCGCCATTGTATATGTATAAATAACAGATCTGTCACCTCATTTATCCGGCCTAATGCAACTTCCGCTATCGAATACTTCTATTATATACTTCCTCCGCCCCCTATAATTGTCCCATTTTTCCATTTTTGGATTTCCCTTTATTATTGTCCCATACCATATTTGGTAACATTTGTGTGGCTCTAATTCATTCTTACTTCATTTTCCACTTTATAAACTCATTACCAACAACATAATTCTACTTTTCTTAAAAACCACATCACTCCCTTCCGTACCAATATTAGGGGTACGAAGGGAGTACTACGTACTATATAAATAGCAAGCAAATAGGTTGTACGTAGAGTACCATAATGTGTTTTATCAATAACTGATTAGTAACGACACCTCACTAATTAACATTATTACTTCTATTAATATTGTTATTAGTAGTAATCCTTTTCCATTACTCTTGATACACATAATCGGGTGTTCCTCTGTGTTAGCTTTGGTACAGTAACCTCTGGTTACATAAATTACAGCAAGAAATACAATAATTGACATACAATTATTGTGCATATGAGTAAAATAATGATCAAATATCGTTTTACTTTCACATTTACTCCAATTTGTGATACAGAAATACAATAATTGACATACAACAAATTATTGGGATACAGAAAATTGAATTTAACTATTGGGATGGAATAGTATTGAATACAAATATGTGATAATATTGTACTTATGAGTAAAATAATGATCAAATATCGTTTTACTTTCACATTTACTACAATTTGTGGCCTTACTTCAAATTTGGGGTTTGGGATTGGGGATTGGGGCTTGGGGCTTAGGTCTAAGGGCTTAGGGCTTAGGGTTTAGGGTCGGGTTTAGGGTCGGAGTTAGGGTCGGGTTTAGGGTCGGGTTTAGGGTCGAGTTTAGGGTCGGGTTTAGGGTCGGGTTTAGGGTCGGGCCTAGGGTCGGGCTAAGGGTCGGGTTTAGGGTCGGGTTTAGGGTCGGGTTTAGGGTCGGGTTTAGGGTCGAGTTTAGGGTCGGGTTTAGGGTCGGGTTTAGGGTCGGGCCTAGGGTCGGGCTTAGGGTCGGGTTTAGGGTCGGGTT